AAGCCAGAGGTGGCCGGAGGAAGCCCGACGGTCTGACAGGACACCCCAAAGCATTTTTGTGAAAAAGCATTGGGTTTTTGATGTTTTTATGTTGAAATGCTTGCAAACACACGGTGTTCGGTAGGATTCTGACATGAACGCGCGAGTGTGCTCTTTGTGGTATTTTTTGCACAGGATTCGCGGCCTGGGTGCATGACAGAGCATCGCGAGTGCACCGCGCGATGACGCGAAATCGCTGGATTTGACCGAATTCTTAAGATTCCTATGGTTTTCCTATGATTTCAGCAAGAGAGCCCGGGCGGGAAATTTGTACAATTTTTGTGAAAAAGCATTGGGTTTTTGATGTTTTTATGTTGAAATGCTTGCAAACACAAGGTGTTCGGTAGGATTCTGACATGAACGCGCGCGTGTGCTCTTTGTGGTATTTTTCTGCAATGGATTATCGCCGTGGACGACAAGACGTCCATGTCGAGAGGAAAAAATAAGAAAAATGTTGATTTTGTATTGTTTTTTACAGGTTAGGATGGGACCCCCCGGATGCGGCCCCTAATGGCCGGCCTGAGGGGGGAGTAGGAGTATATTCTGATAAGGAATAAGGATAGGAGTAGGAGTAGGAGTAGGAGTAGGAGTAGGAGTAGGAATGGGAAAAGGAGCAGGAGTAGGAATCGTAGGGAAGGGTGGGACAAGTAGGGAGAGGAGTAGGAGTAGGAGTAGGAGGAGTAGTTACGCAAGACGAAGGATTTTCCTGAGGTGCAAATGGCGATGATCACTTGGAAGTGAATGACCGAACCCCCTTCCCCCGTAGAATCTTAACACGCGCGGTGTCCAGGGTCCGCGGATCCGATCTTTTCTGGCTCCCCATGTTCATTTGATTGGAAATTGGGGGTGAGATCGCATTTGAACGGAGACCCCCACCAGGGAAATCGTTTCGTTTCGTTCGTGTCGTGCGTGCGGGCGATGCGAAGTAGCGTGGGCGCGCGAAAGGAATGAACCCGCCGTTGCTAAGGCGAAGTCAAGACAAATGTTGCTCGCCCGTCCGTCCGTCCGTCCGTCCGTCTGGCGGTGGCCCTCGCGGTGTCCCGTGGTGTCCGCCTTTGCTAAGGCGAAGTCAGGACAAATGCTGCTCCCCCGTCCGTCCGTCCGTCCGTCCAGCGGTGGCCCTAGCGGTGTCCCGCGGTGTCCCATGGAAAGAAACTGATATTGAGATCGACAATGCGATCGATACTGAAATCGATGCGGTGCCCCGAAGTGTCCCATGGTGTCCCAAATAGTGAGATCGATCGTGAGATCGACAGGTGTCCCGTGGTGTCCCGTTGAATGAGACCGATAGTGAAATCGATCTTGATGTCGATACTGAGATCGATCTGGTGCCCCGAAGTGTCCCATGGTGTCTCAAAAGTGAGATCGATAGCGAGGTCGATAATAAGATCGACAACTGTCCCGTGGTGTCCCGCTGAATGAAGTCGTTAGTGGTACCTATACGACCACCCTTCGGGTGATAAAGAGGTTCGGGGGGGGGAGGAACCAACGTCTCACTCGATCGGTCTCACTATCGATCTCACTATCGGTCTCACTATCGGCTTCGCTCGATCGATCTCACTCGATCGATCTCACTCGATCTATTTCATTCGACCGATCTCACAAACGATCTGACTATCGATCTCACAATCGATCTCACGATCGATCTCACAACCGATCTCACAATCGATCTCACATCCGGTCTCACATCCGGTCTCACTACCGATGTCACAATAGATCTCACAATCAACGTCATCATCATCATTATCATCATCATCATCATCATCAACACCATCATCGTCATCAACGTCATCAGCATCATCATCTTCTGGACATCATCATCATCACCTCATCACAATAGTCATCATCATCATCATCATCATTTCATCATTTCATCATCATCAGCATCATCATGATCATCAACATCAACATCAACATCATCATCATCATCATCATCGGAACACCATCATCATCATCATCATCATGATTGGGACACCATCATCAGCACGACCATCACCATCATCGGGGCACCATCATCATCATCACCACCATCACCATCATCATCATGATCAACATCGTCAACATCATCATCATCATCATCATCATCGGGACACCATCAGCATCACCACCATCACCATCATCATCATCATCATAAACATCATCGACATCATCATCATCATCACCATCACCATCACCATCACCATCACCATCACCATCACCATCAACATCACCATCACCATCACCATCACCATCACCATCATCATCATCATCATCATCATCATCATCATCATCATCATCGGGACACCGACGAGACACCGGCGGGACATTGGCGGGACACCGCGGGCCACCGGCCCCCGGAAAGGAATCTTTTGGTCTGGCCGCGCCTTAGCCGGAGGCGGGACACTGGCGGGACACCGCGGGCCACCAACCCCCAGAAAAGAATCATTTGGTCCGGCCGCGCCCCAGCCGGAGGAGACTTTCTTTTCGCCCGCCCACGCAGCTTCGCCTCGCCCGCACGGACGGCACGCACGAACACGAAACCGAAACCGATTTCCCGGTAGGGGGGCTCTCCGTTCCACTTCGATCTCACCCCCTCACCTCCGATCGATAGTGAGATCGATGTGGTATCCCGAGGTGTCCCTTGGTGTCCCGTTGAGTGAGATCGATAGTGGGGTCGATAATGAGACCGATAGTGAGATCGAGCCCTGTCCCGCGGTGTCCGGTGGTGTCCTGTGGTGTCCCGTTGAGTGAAGTCGATAGTGAAATCGATAGTGAGATCAACATGTGTCCCGTGGTGTCCCGTTGACAGAGACCGATAGTGAAATCGATTAATTCAGATGTTGATTCCCCCCCACAACCTCCTTCTCACCCGAAGGGTGGTCGCATATGTAATGTACCTTTGAAACAAGATAACAATCGAATCCGCCGTTAAACCAAGACCGAACACGGATCCAACAAATCCGAAATCGGATCCGCGCTGATGGAAATCGGATCCACCGAAGCGAACGCCAAAACCACAATTGTTGCACCCGCGCGAACTTCACGGGATCCGACGGCGGGTATCTCATGCGCGTCGGCTCAAGACTTCAAGCCGTCGTTCGGGGCCCAAGGAAAAAACGTTCGTCCTGGGGATGTGGGAGTAGGAAAGGGTAGGAGGAGCACTAGTAGGAATAAGAGTGAGATGGAGTAGTCGGAGTAGTAGTAGTAGTAGTAGTAGTAGTAGTAGTAGTAGTAATCGTAGTAGTAGTAGTAGTAGTAGTAGTAGTAGTAGTAGTAGTAGTAGTAGTAGTCGTAGTAGTAGTAGTAGTCGTAGTAGTAGTAGTAGTAGTAGCAGCAGTAGTAGTAGTAGTAGTAGTAGTAGTAGTAGTAGTAGTAGTAGTAGTAGTAGTAGTAGTAGTAGTCGTAGTAGTAGCAGTAGTAGGTAGTAGGTAGTAGTAGTAGTAGTAGTAGTAGTAGTAGTAGTAGTAGTAGTAGTAGTAAGTCGTAGTAGTAGTAGTAGTAGTAGTGTAGTAGTAGTCTCGTAGTAGTAGGTAGTAGTAGTGTAGTAGTATAGTAGTCGTTGTAGTATAGTAGATGGGGGAGTAGTAGTAGTAGTAGTAGTAGTCGGAGTAGGGAAGTAGTAGTAGGATAAGTAGTGTAGTAGTAGTAGTGGCGTATAGTAGTAGTAGTTAGTAGTAGTATTAGTAGTATAAGTCGTAGTAGAGTAGAGTAGGAGTGGGCAGTAGTGAGTAGTGTAGAGACGTGTAGTAAGTAGTAGTAATAGAGGGTAGTAGCAACAATCATGGGTGTGGGGCGTGGTGGTGGTGGTGGTAGTAGTTAACGTAGTAGTATAGTAGTAAAACAAATAATAGTTAGTGGTGTAGTAGTAGGGTGGCGGTGGTGGTGGTGGTTAGTAGTAGTAGTAGTCGTTAAGTCGTAAAACGGTACAGTCGTTAGTAGGTCGTAGTAGGAGTCGTCGTAGTAGTAGTAGTAGTAGTAGTAGTAGTATTGTAATAGTAGTAGTAAGTAGTAGTAGTAGTAGTAGTAGTAGCAGTCAGCAGTAGTAGTTAGTTCAGTAGTAGTAGTAGTCGTAGTAGTAGTTAGTAATATAAAGGTAGTAGTAGTTGTGTCGTATATTGATAGTAGTAGTAGTAGTAGTAGTAGTAGTAGTAGTAGTGGTGGTAGTAGTTAGTAGTAGTAGTAGTAGTAGTAGTAGTAGTAGTAGTAGTAGTAGTAGTAGTAGTAGTAGTAGTAGTAGTAGTAGTAGTAGTAGTAGTAGTAGTAGTAGTAGTAGTAGTAGTAGTAAAAGTAGTAGTAGTAGTGATAGTAGTAGTAGTAGTAGTAGTAGTAGTAGTAGTAGTAGTAGTAGTAGTAGTAGTAGTAGTAGTAGTAGTAGTAGTAGTAGTAGTCGTAGTAGTAGTAGTAGTAGTAGTAGTAGTAGTAGTAGTAGCAGTAGTAGTAGTAGTAGTAGTAGTAGTAGTAGTAGTAGTAGTAGTAGTAGTAGTAGTAGTAGTAGTAGTAGTAGTAGCAGTAGGTAGTAGTAGTAGTAGTAGTAGTAGTAGTAGTAGTAGTAGTAGTAGTAGTAGTAGTAGTAGTAGTAGTAGTAGTAGTAGTAGTAGTAGTAGTTAGTTAGTAGTAGTAGTAGTAGTAGTAGTAGTAGTAGTAGTAGTAGTAGTAGTAGTAGTAGTAGTAGTAGTGAGTCGTAGTAGTCGTAGTCGTAGTAGTAGTAGTAGTAGTAGTAGTAGTAGTAGTAGTAGTAGTAGTAGTAGTAGTAGTAGTAGTAGTAGTAGTTAGTAGTAGTAGTAGTAGTAGTAGTAGTAGTAGTAGTAGTAGTAGTAGTAGTAGTAGTAGTAGTAGTAGTAGTAGTAGTATTAGTAGTAGTAGTAGTCAGAGGAGGAGGAGAAGGAGGAGAAGGAGGGGGAAAAGGAGGTGGAGGAGGAGGACGAGGAGGCAGAGGAAGAAGAGGGAGGAAAAGGGAGGAAGAGGACGAAAAGAGGAGGCGCCTCGGCGATGAGCTGAAACCGCTTTGTGGCCTGGGCCCGCTCCTCCAAAGGCACCTCGCCGCGCGCGGCGCCAGGGAGCGTGCTCGCGGCGGGACGCGGCGCCGCGCAGGGGAGCGCCCCCAGACTGGCCTCAGGACTGAAGGGGCACCGCGTGGAGAGGACTCAGCGGCGAGCCCACGGGGGGAGTGAGAAGGGGCGGGCCTTCTCAGAAGGCTCGGAAGGCCAACCTTCTGAGACATGTTCGAAACTTCCCTCGAGGACACAACACCTTCTCAGAGGCTGGAGGGCTTCCGGGAAGCCCCGCCGCCACCTGAGAAGGTCTTCTCCTTTTCATTTCTCCCCCTGGCTCGCCGCCGAAGGACTGGCTAACGGGCGGAACAATCGCCCTGGAATCGGCGGTGCATCGCCAATAGATCGGCGGTTGGCCCCCGACAGCGAATCCGCACGCTCCTAGGCGGAGTGGGACTATGCTATCAGACCGCTATCGGCGATCAGTGGGCGCTTGGGGATCGATACGTTCCCCCCTGAGCCTATCCCCCCCTATCCCAGACTTCCGACGTCATGATTTGTTCATGACGCCGACCCCCCCCCAAACTACCGACTCATTCCCCAGGACCCGTTCTTCATCCCGCTTGTTTCTACGGTCCCGAGGGCCAGCGAAGGCCCCGAATTAGCCTGGCGATGGACCCAACCACATGCACTTGTGAGTACCGCAATTGTGAACACCTTCTTCGGTGGCGCTCCCGATGGGGCCACGACACGCCCCTGCTGTGCTGGGTGGTGGCGGACGCATGCGGGCGGTGCCACTGGGACCTTCGGTGGAGCCCGCTATGGGGCCACGAAGCGCTGTACTGGGTGGGTGAAACGCAGGGAGCAATGGCTATGCTGGGTGGTGGCGGACGCATGCGGGCGGTGCCACTGGGACCTTCGGTGGGGCCCCCTATAGGGCCACGAAACGCTGTGCTGGGTGGGTGAATCGCAGGGAGCAATGGCTGTACTGGGTGGTGGCGGACGCATGCGGGCGGTGCCACTGGGACCTTCGGTGGAGCTCCCTACGGGGCCACGACAGCCAAACGCTGTACTGGGTGGGTGAAACGCAAGGAAAAGGGCTGTGCTGGGTGGTGGCGGACGCATGCGGGCGGTGCCACTGGGACCTTCCGTGGAGCTCCCCATGGGGCCACGAAACGCTGTACCGGGTGGGTGAAACGCAAGGAACAATGGCTATGCTGGGTGGTGGCGGACGCATGCGGGCGGTGCCACTGGGACCTTCGGTGGGGCCCCCTATAGGGCCACGAAACGCTGTGCTGGGTGGGTGAATCGCAGGGAGCAATGGCTGTACTGGGTGGTGGCGGACGCATGCGGGCGGTGCCACTGGGACCTTCGGTGGAGTTCCCTACGGGGCCACGACAGCCAAACGCTGTACTGGGTGGGTGGAACGCAAGGAAAAGGGCTGTGCTGGGTGGTGGCGGACGCATGCGGGCGGTGCCACTGGGACCTTCGGTGGAGCTCCCTATGGGGCCACGGAACGCTGTACTGGGTGGGTGAAACGCAGGGAGCAATGGCTATGCTGGGTGGTGGCGGACGCATGCGGCCGGTGCCACTGGGACCTTCGGTGGGGCCCCCTATAGGGCCACGAAACGCTGTGCTGGGTGGGTGAATCGCAGGGAGCAATGGCCGTGTTGGGTGGTGGCGGACGCATGCGGGCGGTGCCACTGGGACCTTCCGTGGGGTTCATTATGGGGTCACGAAACGCTGTACTGGGTGGATACAACGCACGGGGCAAGGGCTGTGCTGGGTGGTGGCGGACGCATGCGGGCGGTGCCACTGGGACCTTCGGTGGAGCCCCCAATGGGGCAACGAAACTGTGTGCTGGGTGGGTGAAACGCATGGAAGAGGGAGGAGGGAGGAGGAGGGGGAAGAGGAGGAGAAAAGGAGAGGAACGCTGGGACGGTGTCTTCCAAACGAGGACCCAACACCACAGGATGGTTGGACATTGATTTAGCCTGGCGAAAGACCCAACCATATGGAGTTGTGAGTACCGCACTTGTGAATATCCTTCTCGGTGCCCCCCCCCATGGGGCCACGAAGCGCTGTACCGGGTGGGTGAAGCGCAGGGAGCAAAGGCCGTGTTGGATGGCGGCGGACGCATGCGGGCGGTGCCACTGGGACCTTCGGTGACATTTCCAATGTGGCCACGAAGCGCTGTACTGGGTGGGCGAAGCGCAGGGAGCAATGGCTGTACTGGGTGGTGGCGGACGCATGCGGGCGTTGCCATTGGACCTTCTGTGGAGCTCCCTATGGGGCCACGAAGCGCTGTACTGGGTGGGTGAAACGAAAGGAGCAATGGCTGTACTGGGTGGTGGCGGACGCATGCGGGCGGTGCCACTGGGACCTTCGGTGGAGCTCCCTATGGGGCCACGCAACACTCCGTAACGGGTGGGTGAAACGCAGGGAGCAAGGGCTGTACTGGGTGGTGGCGGACGCATGCGGGCGGTGCCATTGGGACCTTCGGTGGAGCCCCCTATGGGGCCACGAAGCGCTGTACTGGGTGGGTGAAACGCACGGAGGGAGGAAGGGCTGTGCTGGGTGGTGACGGACGCATGCAGGCGGTGCCACTGGGATTTTCTGTGGAGCCCCCTATAGGGCCACGGAATGCTATACTGGGTGGGTGAAGCGCAGGGAGCAAGGGCTGTGCTGGGTGGTGGCGGACGCATGCGGGCGGTGCCAGTGGGACCTTCCGTGGGGCTCCCTATGGGGCCACGAAGCGCTGTACCGGGTGGGTGAAACGCAGGGAGCAATGGCTGTACTGGGTTGTGGTGGACGCATGCGGGCGGTGCCACTGGGACCTTCGGTGGACCCCCCTACGGGGCCACGAAACGGTGTACTGGGTGGGTGAAACGCAGGGAGCAAGGGCTGTGCTGGGTGGTGGCGGACGCATGCGGGCGTTGCCATTGGGACCTTCGGTGGAGCCCCCTATGGGGCCACGAAGCGCTGTGCTGGGTGGGTGCAACGCAGGGATGAGGGGAGGAGGGAGAGGAGGAGGAGAAGAGGAGAGGAGGAGAGGAACGCGAGGACCGTCTCTTCAAAACGAGGAGCCAACACCAGAGGATGGTTGGGAAACAAGGAAACAGCGAAAAACCCTCCGTCGTGACTGTGTCGTAACTCGAGGGGGCCTGGGATCGCTGCCCCCGAAGGATCCAGATCCTTAGGTCGCTGAACTTCGCGCATCGCGCCCGGCGATGCGCGGCCATTTTCGCTTGGCGGCGCGCACAACGGGTATGGGGGGCCGGGGAAGGCGTCTTAGAAGCGGGGGTGCTGCTGCGAAGCCTCCCCCCCTGCCCCTAGCCCCCTCTGCGCGTGGGCCACGCTTTCCCTCTCCAATCCTCGATCCTCGAGCGCGCCCCCCCCCTGCCGCTCTCTCTCTCTCTCTCTCTGTCTCATTTTCTCTCTCTCTCTCTCTCTTTTTCTTTCTCTCTCTCTCTCTCTCTCCTCTCCGATCCGATCCTCGATTCTCGTGGCTCCCCCCACTCGACCCGGCCCCCTCCCCCTCCAGCCCTCACTCCTGCGGCCGCCCTCCGCTCCCGCCCTGCTCTCCCCCCCCGTCGCCTCCCCGCCCTCCTGCGTCTGCGCGTGGCCGATGCGCGCCCCTGGCCCCTTGCGCACCCCCCTTCTCCTCCTCCTGCTCCTCCTCCTCGTCCTCCTCCTCCTCCTCCTCCTCCTCCTCCTCCTCCTCCTCCTCCTCCTCCTCCTCCTCCTCCTCCTCCCCCTCCCCCTCCTCCCCCTCCTCCCCCCTCAGAAAGGCAGTCTCTTCGCGCCCCCACGGGCGACCCCGGGATCCCGACTCTGGATGAGAATCCTGGCGGGGAGGCGCAAGGACATTCTGGTACAATGTGTCCTCCCTGGAGGCGTGCGTCCGACCCCAACATATATCGGGTCGGGCGAAAGGGGGGTTAGCAAAGGGGGGGGGGTGAGAATCAGCTCACGTAGCTGATTTTCCCGACGCCTCCCGCCGCCGGAGGCGGATATGTATCGAGGAATGGGCCCCTCGGTGAGGTCGAAACCAGCTGCACGCAACAAATTTCGTATCTCTCCCTTTCCCAATCCCCCCCTTTCGTCCGACCCCAACATATAGTATGGCCATCTTCCAGCGCGTCGTTTCCCGAGCGGAGTGGCCAAAAAGCCTCCGCCACAGAGCATTTACTACAAGACTTCCCTGCGCGCGCGTCGCCCCTGGGGTGCAGACGCACACATAATGTTAGTTGAGGTAATGCCCACTGGAGGCCTCGCGTGCCAACTTGAGACCCAGTTTACTTCGGATCCACGTCGGGGATTACATCGGGCCCACGTCAGATTTCTGGCGGATTCTCATTGGATTTACGTCGGACCTGCGTCGGGACATCGCCGCGCGAACGTGGCCTCAGATCTGTTGGGGCGGACGTGCGGACTAGATACAACTACTGCGCACCGCGCAAGTCCTCGATTCTCCTCATGACCAGCTGTGTCCGCTGATCTGATTCTTCACCCCGCCGTTTTTCTCGATGTCGGTTCCGGGGCCATCAGAAATAGATCGGAACGAGAAGCTGCCCCTGGGGAAGGGGCCCCCCTCCCCCTGGCCTCGTCGGCGTCAGCGACTCGCTCGGGAGGCGCGGGAGCCAGACAGAGAACGGTACGGGCTGTTCCGCCGTCGGGGAGGCCTGCCCAGGGCGGCTGGAAACGTCTCGAGTAGGGGATCGACTACAGCATTGAGTTACCCCAGACTTGATTTTCTCGCCGAATCTACGTGGAATGATCTACGAGCATTCTGCATCGGAAACTGGGGGGGTCAGATCGCAATGGAACGGAGACCCCCCACCGGGAAATCATTTCGTTCGTTCGTGTCGTGGGCGCGTGGAAGCTGCGTGGGCGCGCGAGAGGAATGTACCGCCATTGCTAGGGCGAAGTCAAGACAAACGATTCTCGCCCGCCCGCCCGTCCGTCCGTCCGTCCGACGGTGGCTCTCGGTGTCCCGTGGTGTCCGCCATTGCTAGTGCGCAGTCAAAACAACTGATTCTCCCCCGCCCGCCCGTCCGTCCGTCCGTCCGGCGGTGACGCGCTGTGCCCGCGGTGTCCCGTGGTGTCCCGTGGTGTTCCGTTAAATGAGATCGATAGTGAGATCGATATTGAGATCGATAGAGAGATCGACACTGAGATCGATGTGGTGCCCCGGGGTGTCCCGTGATGTCCGGAAAAGTGAGATCGATAGTAGTGAGATCGATAGTGAGATCGACAAGTGTCCCGTGGTGTCCCGTTGAGTGAGATCGATAGTGGGGTCGATACTGTTGCCCCGTGGTGTCCCGTGGTGTCCCGTTGAATGAGATCGATAGTGAGATCGATGTGGTGTCCTGAGGTGTCCCGTGGTGTCCTATGGTGTCCCGTTGAGTGAGATCGATAGTGAGGTCGATAATGAGATCGAGAGGTGTCCCGCGGTGTCCCGTGGTGTTGTCCCGTTGTGTCCCGTTGAGAAAGATCGATAATGAGATCGATAGTGAGATCGACAAGTGTCCCGTGTTGTCCCGTGGTGTCCCGGTGAGTGAGATCGATAGTGAGATCGATTGAGTCAGATGTTGGCTCCCCCCCTCTCCCCCTGCCCACAACCTTGTTATCACCCGAAGGGTGGTCGTATAGGTATTTTCGTACATTCGACGAGAAAATAACTTTTTGGGTAAACCAACTCTGTAGTCGACCCCCTACTCGAACGTTGCACCCTTACGCTTTCCAGCCGCCCTTGGGCAGGCGTCCCCGCTGGCAGAATCACTTTCTTTCTCTTTGTCTTCGTCTGGTGATGGGTGCCAGGCGACGAGGGGGACTACAAGCGGCCTCCCAGCCCCCGTGAAGGCACCATGGAGGCATGGGGACGAGGAGGGGGGGGAGGCGGCGAGGCACCAAGCCTCCTGGCGCCCGAAAACGGCCCCCAGAAGCCGACGAAGACCCAAAACCTCGAACCTGCCCTCGCTCGGACGTCCATCTCCCGTGCATTTGTCGGTTTCGTGCGTGCTTTTCTTTTTTTTGCTCGATGGCCCAGGATGGTCCTCGATGGTTCTCGCCGAGGAAAACATGCACGCGCCCGAGCGATGCCAGGCGAGCCTGCCCCCCCCCCCCCCTGCTGGCCGGGACCGGTGCTGGGCCATGCACTTCACACCCCAGCCGGCTCCAACGTGCGGGTCTCTGGGGCCATCGGGGGGAGAACAGCTCTCCGCGGGGCACCGGCTGGCAGGCCGATCTCATCTTCGGTGTGACCTCTGCAGCAGCAGCGTGATCGGCTCCTCCTGCCCGTGCTGCTGCTCACCTCCTCCTCCTCCTCCTCCTCCTCCTCCTCCTCCTCCTCCTCTCCCCCCTCCTCCTCCTCCTCCTCCCTCCTCCCTATCCTTGGGTCCTTGGCGCACCACGCCTCGCTGACGCAACACGTGGTACAAAAACGGGGTGAACATCGAACAGCGCTTACGAAAGTCTCGCAAACTGGCAAGATTTCCCAGGCGACGATTTGGCTGAGAGCTTCCCATGTCCAGGATAACCCCTGCTTTCAGAAGGCTGAGGATTTGGGTGGCTGCCTTATTCCAAGGCCCCCCTGTGCATCACCCTCTGAGTGCCGAGCGCCCCACAACAATTACACCAGACAAAGCCCCCTCCTCCACACCAGAGGCGGTGTGAATGATGTGCGTGGCCGGCGAGCCTGAACCTGTCCGCGTCCCCGAAGTCTATCCCAAACAGCAGACGGGCCCGACCACAGAGGGACAACTATTGCGCCTTGAGCTCGCCCGCCAAAGCTGGGGGCATAGGGTACGTTCGAGCTCCTACTTTGGCTACTCCAGATTTCGTAAATAAAGGGAGGGGGGTCTCATTTCGGGGGGGGGGTCTCTTCCAGGCTATCTTGGAGGGCCTGGGGGGTCTGGGGACGATGTTTTGGATGGTTCTCCCACGGGGGAGGTCTGAAATGGCTTGTCTTGGAGGGTCCAGACCCCCTCCCTTTTATTACGAAATCTGGAGTAAGCGGTCGGCCTCGCGGATGCCTCTCCGGGCCCACGAGGCGCAACCCTGGGAGCTGGCTTCGGCCCAGTGGCTGCGACTTCTCTCCGCCGACACTCGAGCCGAGGAGGCCCTCGGACTTGGCAGAGAACTCTGCGTCCAACGCCCGGAGTAGGCCAGCCTCTACAGGGGAGCTGGTGAAGGCCCTGCTCCCAAATATCCACCGCAATCTTACTGTTACGCGCAACCGTCACGGGCTCCACCCCACAAGTGGTTCAGAAGCACGAGCAGAGCAGACACTTCAGAGCAACCAGCCTGCTGGACGCCAGTGGGGTAGGGAACCGTGCAGGGAGCCGTCATGTCCCCCCCCCGTGGCGGTCCACTTGAACCCTCGCCCGCCCTGCACGCTCTACAATCCAAACGTGGATTCAGGACGGGTGGTGGGGACGCAAGGCCCGTAGGGGCCGAAGTTGGGATTCTTTCGGCAGCGGGCGACCAGTGACAACGGCAAAGGATGGGCCGCAGAGGCAAGGACAGAAGGGTACCCTAGACGAAGGCGCGCGTCCTTACTGGGCGCGTTGACTGTAGAACGGTGTCGCCAGGATGGAAAACAGATTTGTCGCTTCCAGACTGGGGGGAGTGGCCCGAAAAAATAGGCTGGGTAGAAGGCAACGGGTGGTTGCCGGGTCGTACGGGGAAGCCTTCTCGAAATCCTCGACAATTCCTGGGACACCCAAGTCCCTTCTCGTCATCTAAGTGGCAGGGCATCCGACCGCGCGATGTTTGGGAGCACTCTTTTCTTCGCACAACTTGCACATGGGGCTGACAGTCCTCCGATCCATGAACCACGTGCATTGTGTAGGGACACTTCCAGCAACAATGCCTGCCCTTCCTGGGCTGGCCGCAGGTACCTCCAAGCACCTTTCCCGGGCTGCCCGAAGGTACCTCCCAAGTACCTTTCCTGGGCTGCCCGCAGGTACCTCCCAAGTGCCTTTCCTGGGCTGCCCGAGGGTACCTCTCAAGTACATTTGGTCGCCCCTCGGCGTTGCCACGTGACGAGTGGAGTAGAGTAGTAGTTTCGTTTCGCCCCCTGCGCATTGCCGCGTGGCGCGTCGAGCAGAGCAGTTTCTTTTCGCTCCGTGGAGTTGCCGCTCCGCGCGCCCATCGGCCCGCGCGGGTCTGCCTTAGAATTGAAAGCTCCGAGAGTGTCAGTGCGGCCGGTCAATACATTTCCCTCCTCTACTGCGTCGGCGGCCGCCTTGTCGGGGTGGCATGTCAGCGCGACTCTGCGGAAGCCGCGCTTCACGTCAGCGGCAGACGCCTCCCGGCCGCCGGTGTCCGAGCGAGAGGAGGAGGAGGAGGAAGAGGAGGAGGAGGAGGAGGAAGAGGAGGAGGAGGAGGAAGAGGAGGAGGGGGGGCCTCACCCTGCTTCGGCTCTCGCCCTGCACATTCTCTCTCCTCCTCCCCATCCTCCCCAGGCCTCCTCCTCCTGATGTAACTCCGCCTCCCCCTCATCCCCCTCCTCCTCCCCCCCTCCTCCTCCGCCCTCGTCGTCGTCCTCCTCCTCCTGCTCCCCTCCTCCTCATCCTCCTCCTCCTCCTTCTCCTCCTCCTCCTTCTCCCCCTCCTCCTCCTCCTCCTCCTCCTCCTCCTCCTCATTCTCCTCCTCCTCCTCCCCTCCTCTTCCTCCTCCTCCTCCTCCTCCTCCCTCCATTCCGTTTACTTTTAGATAACTCCTCCCTGCCGCACCCCGAAGCCAGTCGAAAGCGCGGGCCGGGCCTGAGGCTTCCCCACCACTTTTGACCCTGATGTTTTTAAACACTGACATCAACTTCACAATGGAGGGAGGGTGGTTTTCAACGTGTGACTCACGCCTCAGCGCCGCGCACATTCGCTTGTGAACATTTGCAAGAGTTTCACGGGTTGAGGGCGGGTGGTTTTCAAAATGTGGCTCCCGCCTTAGCGCCGCGCACATTCGTTTTGAATGTTTGCAAGACTTTACGGACTCAGGGCGGTTCCTTCCCAACATGTGGTTCTCGCCTTAGTGCCGCGCGCATTCGCTTTAAACACTTGCACGAGTTTCACTGGTTCTCATGGCGAACGTAGCAGAGACGGTATGTTGAAACGATTCAGGACTGTCACAGCGCATCAATTACGTTGGTTCGCGGTGTTGAAGTCGAAATAACGGTGTTCTGGCACGGTTCAGGATCGCCAAGACGTAACAATTAGGTTAACTCGAGGCGTTGATACCCTGACAATGGTTCACACCATTGTCCCCCAACGGGACAATTCCCTGTGGTAATGACACCGAGTAGGGGCCTATGAAGAGGGATCTTGGTGGGAGGGTGTATTACAACATCGTTGATGAATCTTGGGTTTGCACTAGCCCTCCTCCTCCTCCTCCTCCTCCTCCTCCTCCTCCTCCTCCTCCTCCTCCTCCCCATCCTCCTTCTCCGCCTCCTCCTTCTCCTTCTCCGCCCCCCTCCTCCTCGTCTGCCTCCTCCGCCTCCTCCTCACCAGCACCCTCCTCCGCCTCCTCCTCCTCCGCCTCCTTCTCCATCGCGATCCCGCCCCAGCCGCGCCGAGTCCGCCACGCCGAGGATGCCGTAGAAATCGTGCTCCTGCCACCGGCGGAGCCTCTCCTTCTCCGCCGCGGCCATGCTGCGAGGGGCAAAACGCGTGAGGGGGGGGGGACCGGCCCAGGGGGCACGCCGAGCTGGAAGCAGCGACACATCTGAAGGGGCCCTGGGACACACAAATAAATACACACAAATTACATGAATCCCCTTATATTTTCCCATATTTTCTGGGTTTCTGTGTTCCCCCCCACTTCCCATATTTTCCCATCTTTTCTGGGGAATCGACGATCAATTGTGTCTGTGTTTTTCCCCTCCTGAATATCGCCGACAGGTCGGCGATAAGCCCCAAATGGCGGATCCGCACAGCCCTGGAGGTGGTGGGCTATCAACCGAGACTGGAATGATGTCATGATCAGATTGGCTCAGGATGCGTTTCAGGAGTTCCGAAGTGCCCAGCGGCCTTCGTTTCGGCACGTGTGGAGCAATCGGAATCCTGGGAGGTCCTGGAAATCCTGGGACGGATCATGATCATGACCTCTTCTCTGACTACTGGCGATGAATGGGCGACTGGTCGAGGCATTCTTCCCCTGAGCCTGTCCCCCACCATTCACGCTGCCCCTCCTGGTGGCGCGCCGAGCAGCCTTGCCGCTGGCGCGCCTTCGTCTTCTCCCCGGCGGCCATGGCGCGAGCGCGCGCGAGGAGGTTTGCCCCAATGAAAGGCTCGAAATGAACACCTAGTAACCTGGTCGACCGACACATTACTCCCGCAAAACACCATAATCACAGTAAAGGTGAAGAAGCGGGCGCGGACGGGCGGCGGGCGGCGCCCTTGCGGGATCGGGATTTGAATTGAACTCCTAAGGAGGGTGTCTTGCAGCGGGAACCTGCTGACTACAGGGTGTTGTGTTGGACACGGAGGCTGTTGAGTACAGGGTGTTGTATTGGGGACGGAGGCTGTTGAGTACTGTGTTCTGTGTTGGACAAAGAAAAAGCTGAGCGCAAGGAGAGCGGGGGCGGGCGGGCGGGCGGGCGCGCGGGCGGGCGGCGGGATCGGGATTATAATTGAAGTCCTACGGGGGGTGTCTTGCAGCGGGAACCTGTTGAGTACAGGGTGTTGTGTTGGACATGGGGGCTGTTGAGTACAGGGTGTTGTGTTGGGCACGGGGGCTGTTGAGTACTGTGTTCTGTGTTGGACACGGAGAGCGTTGACACAAGGAGAGCGGGGGCGGGCGGCGGGCGGGCGCGCGGGCGGGCGGCGGGCGGCAGGCGGGAGTGGGATTTGAATAGAAACCCTCAGGAGGGTGTCTTGCAGCGGGAGCCTGTTGAGTACAGGGTGTTGTGTTGGACATGGAGGCTGTTGAGTACAGGGTGTGGTGTAGGACACGGGGGCTGTTGAGTACTGTGTTCGGTGCTGGACACACAGAGAGCTGAGCACGATAGAGCGGGGGCGGGCGGCGGGCGGGTGCGAGGGCGTGCTGCGAGCGGCGGGCGGGATCGGGATTTTACTAGAACTCCTCAGGAGGGTGTCTTGCACCGGGAGTTTGTTGAGCACAGGGTGTTGTGTTGGGCGCGGCGGCCGTTGAGAACTCGGTGGTGTGTTGGGCACGGAGGCTGTTGACTATTGTGTTTTGTGCTGGAGACGGAGAGAGAGCACAAGGAGAACGGGGGCGGGCGGCGGGCGGGCGCGCGGGCGGGCGGCGGGCGGCCGGCGGCCGGCGGGTGTCTTGCAGCGGGAGCCTGTTGAGTACAATTTGTTGTGTTGGGCACGGAGGCTGTTGAGTCTTGGGTGTTGTGTTGGACACAGAGAGAATTCAGCAAGATGAGCGCGGGGGCGGGCGAGGGACGGGCGCGCGGGCGGGCGGCGGGCGCCAGCGGGATCGAGATTTACTAGAATTCTGGGGGAAGGTGTCTTGCATCAGGAACCTGTTGAGTACAGGATGTCGTGTTGGGCACGGAGGCTGTTGAGTACTTGGTGATGTGTTGGGCACGGAGGCTGTTAAGTACTGGGTGTTGTGTTGGACACCAAAAAATTGAGCACAAGCAGAGCAGGGGCGGGCGGCGGGCGGGCGCGGGGGCGGGCGGCGGGCGGGGTCGGAATTTTAATGCAACTCTTGAGGCGGGTGTCTTGCAGCGGGAGCTTGTTGAGTACAATATGTTGTGTTTGGCAAAGGAGGCTGTTGAGTACTGGGTGTTGTGTTGGGCACGGAGGCTGTTGAGTATTGGGTGTTGTGTTGAACAGAAAAAGCTGAGCACAAAGAGAGCGGGGGCGGGCGGGCGGGCGGGCGGCGGGCGGGATTGGGATTTTCATGGAACTCTTAAGGGGGGCGTCTTGCAGCGGGAACCTATTGAGTACAGGGTGTTGTGTTGGACACGGAGACTGTTGAGAACAGGGTGTTGTGTTGGGCACGGGGGCTGTTGAGTTAAGTGTTGTGTTGGACACGGGGAGCGTTGACACAATGAGAGCGGGGCGGGCGGCGGGCGGGCGCGCGGGCGGGCGCGGGCGGCGGGCGGGTTCGGGATTGTACCAGGACTCCTAAGGATGGTGTTTTGTATCCTGAACCTGTTGATTACAGGGTGTTGTGTTGGACGCCCGCCGCCCGCGCCCGCTCTCCTTGTGCTCAACTCTCTCCGTGTCCAAAAAACACAAACACCCAATACTCAACAGCTTCCGTGCCCAACGCAAAAACCTTGTACTCAACAGGCTCCCGCTGAAAGAAACTCTCCTTAGTAGTTCAATGGAAATCCCGATCCCGCCCGCCGCCCGCCGCCCGCCCGCGCGCCCGCCCGCCGTCCGCCCCCGCTCTCCTTGTGTCAACGCTCCCCGTGTCCAACACAGAACACTTAACTCAACAGCCCCCGTGCACAACACAACTCCCTGTTCTCAACAGTCTCCGTGTCCAACACAACACACTGTACACAACAGGTTCCCGCTGCAAGACGCCCTGCTTAGGAGTTCGAGTAAAATCCCGATCCCGCCGGCGCCCGCTGCCCGCCCGCGCGCCCGCCCGCCGCCCGCCCCCGTTTTCATTGTGCTCAACTCTCTCTGTCCAACACAACACCCTATACTCAACTGCCTCCGTGTCCAACACAACACCCATTACGCAACAGCTTCCGTGCCCAACACAGCACCGTGTACTCAACAGGCTCCCGCTGCAAGACACCCTCCTGAGGAATTCTATTCAAATCCCACTCCCGCCCGCCGCCCGCCGCCCGTCCGCGCGCCCGCCCGCCGCCCGCCCCCGCTCTCCTTGTGTCAACGCTCTCCGTGTCCAACACAGAACACAGTACTCAACAGCCCCCGCGCCCAACACAACACCCTGTACTCAACAGCCTCCATGTCCAACACAAAACCCTGTACACAACAGCCTCCTTGTCCAACACAACACCCTGTACTCAACAGGTTCCCGCTACAAGACACCCTCCTTAGGAGGTTCATTAAAATCCCGATCCCGCCCGCCGCCCGCCGCCCGCCCGCGCGCCGCCCGCCCTTGCTCTCCTTGTGCCCAACTCTCTCCGTGTCCAACACAACACCCAATAAGGGGGGAGGGAGGGAGGGAGGGAGAGAGAGAGGGAGAAAGAGAGAGAGAGAGGCAGGGGAAAGAGAGGCCCCTCAAGACGGCCCCTTTCCGAAGGCGTCAGACTGGCCAAGAGCCCCCTGAGACGGCCCAAGTCGGCCCCCAGAAATCTCGACCCTCTCCCCAGGGTCGTTTTTTCATCCGGGATCGTTTTTAGACGGTCCTGGGGCCCAGAACGGGGACCTGGAGGCCGAAAACTGGCCGCGCCACACGTAAACACACGTGGTTCAGCTCGGGACAACCATGTTAGATACCCCCTGTATGGCCTGGACACGAGAAAACGCGTGGTTTGAGCTCGGAACCGCCATGTTAGATACTCTCCTGTGTGGGACGTGGTTCCAGCTTGGGACCACCATATTAGATACCCCTTGCGCGGCGTGGACACATGAAACCACGTTGCTCCATCTCGGAACCACCATGTTAGATGCCCCCCTGGGTGGCCAAGACACCTGAACACACATGGCTCCAGCTCGGGACCGCCATGCTAGAGGCCCTCCCGGTGTGGCCTGAACACGTGAAAAAATCGTGTTCCAGCTAGGGGCAATCATGTTAGATACCCCGCTGGGCGGCCTGGGCACGTAAAAACACATGGCTCCAACTCGGGAAAGTCATGTTTGATACCCCCGTGGGTGGCCTGGACACGTGAAAACACGTGGTTCCAACTCGGGGCACACATACTGGATACCAACTTGGGTGGCCTGGACACATAAAAAGACATGGTTCCAGCTGGGGGCTACCATGTTAGATATCCCCCTGCATGATTATTCCCCGTTATACTCATAATTCTCATGAGCACTCGTCATCAACACTATCATCATCATCATCATCATCATCATCATCATCATAATCATCATCATCATCATCATCATCAACAACAACATCATCATCACACTCACAAACATATGTGGCTTGAGGTCCCTGGTGCGCCCTTCCCTGAACCCCTTCCGCATCACCCGTGGCCGACACAACACCCAGCACTCAACAGCCTCCGTGTCCCACACACACCCCGTACTCAACAGACTCCCGCTGCAAGACACCCTCGTTAGGAGTTCAATGAAAATCCCGATCCCGCCCGCCGCCCGCCGCCCGCCCGCCCCCGCTCACCTTGTAATCAACACTCTCTGTGTCCAACACAACACCCAATACTCAACAGCCTCCGTGTCCAACACAACACCCTGTACTCAACAGCCTCCGCGTCCAACACAATACCCTGTACTCAACAGACTCCCGCTGCAAGACGCCCTCCCTAGGAGTTCGAGTAAAATCCCGATCCCGCCTGTCGCCCGCCGCCCGCCCGCGCGCCCGCCCGCCGCCCGCCCCCGCCCAATGCATGCCAATGCATGCCAACGCATGCCAGTGCATTCCAAAGCATGCAAATGCATGCCAGAGCATGCCAATCCATGCCACTGTATGCCAACGCATGCCAACGCATGCCAATGCGTGCCAATGCATGCGAAAGCATGCCAAGGCGTGCCAATGCATGCCAATGCATGCCAACGCATGCCA